CCTACCACATTCCAAAAAACATGCATGAGAGGCTAATTGGACACTCAAAATTGTCCCTAACTGTGAGTGTGAGCGCGGATTGTTGTTTATCTCTGTATACCCTGCGATTGGCTGGCAACCAGTTCAGGATGTCCCCCGCCTACTGCCCGAAGACAGCTGGGATAGGCTCCGGCACGCCCCATGACCCTTGTGAGGATAAAGCGGATCAGAAAATGGATGGATGGAATAATAATAATAATAATAATAATAATAATAATAATAATAATAATAATTCAATTCATGCATTTTATTCATACGCCTTTCTTGGCACTGAAGGACAACGTACAAGATGTTACGTTACCTTTAATAAACCTATAAAATAACAATAATAAGTGGAATAAGAGAAATAAATATAATAAATAATATAATGTGTCAGGAAGGGCAAAAAAACATCATGTGTGAGCCAAACAAGTCATGCGAGTGACTCGCTTTGAAGAAAGCTGAAAATCACAGCAACAACAACAACAACAACAACACATCAAGTGCACACCCTTGTCAAAATGTTGTTGGCTTACTTTACATAAAATATTTTGCACATCAAATGACCTTTCATTTCCAGATGCTGACAAATTAATTGTCTATCTATGAGTGGATATGTGGTAACTCTATTTTGAGAATTGGACAGAAAAGCATGCAGACAGAAAATGACTGTCTGCATGCTATCAATAGCGCCATTGTGCTCATGTGTTTGAAGAGAATTTGGTAAACTGAATTATGGGGGAGTTCATGGAAAGAAAGTTGTGTTCGTATAATTGCCAGTGAACCATGTCGTGAGATAATGAGTCACAGTTCTGAGCATATGAGGAGGCCTTTGCCAAATTTATACCCCAAAATGTTTCCTGGAGGACTTTTGCTGAATGACTCGAAAAATAATTGGATCGTTTTGTAAAAAACAATTCAACGAAATGTTTTGTCCAAAGCAGCCCAGATAATTTGGTCAAATTTACCCAAGTGGTGGATCGGTCAATTTTTGGTCCAAATTGCGTGATTTTTCACCCATCTGGTTATTCAACAGACCTTTGTGAAATTGTATTTATTCTCAAATTATTGGATAGGATTTCTGCTTTTTCTGTGTTCTTATTTATATATACTATATCTGCCTTTACAAAGATCATAAAGAATAAACTCGAGTAGGACCGTTGAGAGGAAGTGTAACTGCAGTGGCATAAAACTCCAGAGGAGGCAGCAACAGAGAGATGGTTTCATGTAAACCCCAAAAAATGAGAAATGTCTCAAAGAATGTAACTTTGATACTCCAACCACAATAAGAAACATATTGTTCAGCGAGGTATGTGCCATGGGAATGAATTCTAGTATCCTATGTAGGTAACCATCAATACATCACATGAGGTGAGAATAACCTTGGAGGGTTCATGAGCAGGGTAAGCGGTTTACGGAAAAAGGATGGAGGGATATGCTCCCGATGGGCCGCATGCAGCATAGAGATGTCATCCGTGATTTTGCGTTGTGCAGTAGTTGATAAGCAGTAAGTGTTTTGCCTGCGTGAGCAATGAGGTGCGCTACCCTGCCATCAGACTTGGTGAAAATGAACAGGCATTTTTATTGAAACATGCATCATGGTTTCATTGAATGCTTGATTATCAACTTTCACATAATTCATACCATATATTTTGTTGCAGCGCTACAGGATTTTATCATATTGTGCAGGTTATACAGTGTAATGCTGTGGCTGGTGACTTTTTTTTTTTTTGTCATCAAGCTCGACCATATATGCTTCTGCACAGGACTATTCTATGCTTACAAAGCATGATACTGTGAAAAAGAGGCCTCTGTACCTTTGCAGTAAAAACAAAAGGTGAGATTTATACAGTAGTACCTTTCAAAGTGATGCTTTAGAGATCAGCATCCATCCAGTATCCGAGAAGCTTATCCTCACGAGGGTCGCGGGCATGCTGCAGTCTATCCCACCCTGAACTGGTGTCCAGGCAATCGCAGGACACACATAGAACAACAACTATTCAAACTCACAATCACACCTCGGGACAATTTAAGGTGTTTCATTAATCTACCATGCATGTTTTTGGAATGTGGGAGGAAACCAGAGTACCTGGAGAATACTCATGTAGGCACGGGGAGAACATGCAAACACCCAGTAAGGCCAAAGCCCGGATTTGAACCCTGGACCACTGTACTGTGAGGCGGGCGTGCTAACCAGTCAACCATCTTGCGTGCCATCCACATTTACAACTCGTACCTCACATTATTGAAGCCATGTTCAGCATGCTCCAAGTTTGTTTTCCAGGATATCTCAAGGCAAGCATTCTTTAAAGTTGACTTGGATGAGTCTAAATTTTCAAAGATGAACATTTCTCCAGGACCACCCCTGCACTTGTTGACAGAATTCCATCTAGGACAGCACAGGCTTCACACAGAGATCACCAAGGTGATACCCGCAGGCAAGTATATCTGTTTCCAACTTTGTTAATTCATTGTTCATCATGATTATATAAAATCAGCAACACGATCAGTGTCTTCACACAAATGAATATCATTCAAGAGGAACTATCACATAGTATTTAAGGTCATCTGAGCAAGTTTGTTCTTTCAGAAGTGTGTATAAAATTGATCATCTTTCACATTACTCAACACCTAAGAAGTAGCTCTTACAAAAGTCACGTACTGTACCAGGAAAATATTCCTTTCACAAAATATGCACTTTTTTGTGCCCCAAACTGCAAAGTACTAAAGCTGCTACAGGCAACAATAAATCCATGTGATTCATTATAAAACCTAAGTCACATTTTCATTAATTTAGCAAAAGAGAATTGCTTGGGTTCTGTTTGCTTATCAAATCACACGATTGTGTGGCCACTTTCTGCAAGACAGAATCAAAATGGCATACCACCGCTGCAGTGTCCTCGGCAGGAGTCAAATACATAAAGGCAAGAACACAAAGTTAAATACATACTTAGGAAGCAAAACAGCCACTGGTAGTTTCCAAGTGTTTGCACCAGAGTGGTTGCAGGTTTGACATAAACCTGCAGCCACTCTGTTGACCCTGAGGAGCGCCGGTTTATTGAGCCTTATTTGTCATTAGTGATGTCAGTTCATATGTTGTACATATTTTAATCATGACAAATTTCACACCTTACTTTATCCAGTCATGTAGTCAGACTAAAGCTAACCTTCAAATGTCACACAATGTTAATAGACTGCATTGACTTCAACTTGACGATGATGTCAAAGTTTCAAAGGGCATGATCCCCCCCCCCCTTCCCTTCCCAAAGGCAGTTGCAATAAACTGCCTCCTGATTGCAACAGTGAGCAAGAATTGACAAGACTTCAATAAACGGTACATAATTCTCAGCCAACCATGGTACTCACTAAAAGCACACACAAAAAAAAATAAATAAATAACTGTACAAAATGCAACACGTACGAAAGGGAGACACTGGTATTCACAGCTTGAACATATTGAGGCTTTGTGCGAGTCTTCTACTTCACATTCCTGACTGTGGGAGTGACATTACATATGTATAGTGTCCCATTTTATTTGTGTTGACGTCTCATGTGTCTATATACCAAACTATATTAACAGCAATGGAAGAAGAAGAGAGAATTGCACAAAAATATTAAGGTTTGTTGCACACTCTGTGCTGTCCACAGAATATAACCTAGCTTCAATAAAATAAAAAACAGACAAACAAAATATAGAGCCATGCATAGTACGCATTCAAGCTTAAAGACAAAGTCCCAAAACATTGTGTGGCAGCAGGTGTCAAATTTAATCATTGTAAAAAATGCACTTGATGAATGTTGAAAACAGCATTTAATATCAAGTCAAAAAAGACTAGCTTGATTTTTTGCCTTAGTGTAAAAATGTAATCATGTGAAATGAAGTCTAGAAACATTCTTTCAATGTAATTTTATTATAAAAAACAAGTAGCCTATTTAAATTGAGTGAACTCAAAAACAGACTAGAGACAGAAAAGAAATAAGTCAAAAGGATAATTTTACTTTAAAGAAATGTATCTGGAAACAGCCACTTGATTAAATAAAATTGTGTAAAGACAACAAAAAGTTTATTTCAATCTAGAATGTGGTTAAACGGGGTTAAATACACTTAAAGGCAAATCATTGTGTACATTCTTCTAACTTGCAAAGTATTGCAGTAAGAGTACGCCTCCATGCTTAATTGTTAGCATCTTCTCATTTTTTTCATATTCCTCACGATTCTCATTTGAAATGTCTATTTTGACATGGAAGGGTTACCTTAAATTACAATGAAATATTGCGAGCGAGGAGTTGATTTGACATGCCCCTCACTGGAAATTTGCCAGTGAGTGATGTTTAATTGTGCATGACTTTTACATCAAAGGGACCGGTGGATGACTTTGTTATCGTAAATCAACGTCATCGGTTCAGAAAATGTTAAGTGGAAAAAAATGGTTTCCTCATACTGGATTATGGCTGCTACCAAAGCATTTTGGCAAGTGTAACTGTGAAATGAGTGCCAGATGGACTTTATTTCACTCAAGTTTATGAGTAAAATACGGCTATCAGCAGATGTGCCTCACACACAGTCGAGGTTCAAATGTTTTCTGTCACATGACCAGCACATTTGATTCTGCCTTCTCAACAATAAGATACAAATGGGTGGCAGACAAGCACAGAACTGAATTGATTTCAAGACAGACGTTATTTGAAGCCTGGCCAACATCTGAGATGCATTCGAAGATAAAAGACATTGCTTCTCATGCCACCTGGGGCCAGTGACAAGCTATATTTTCTTTTCGTTTTGTGTGTATTGTTAAGGACAAACAACATTTAGGAATGACATTAACGCAATCAAATACAATTCATAATTTAACTTGAATGTCGCCAGTGCAGGAGCGGATGACATGCGGCGTATGATGTCTGCAACAAAGGCGCAAGTAATCAAACCACATGCAAGGGGTGGCAAATGAATTTGAACAGAGAAGCGACAAGCTCTCACCTACCTTAGCCTTACTCTGAATCAGGGTTGGCACAAGGATGGTCATCTGGTATGTGTTTGACAATGGGAAACAAATCCTCTGTCACACACATTGAAGCAAAGCGATTCTTCTCTTACATTCAGTTTCACACCACAGGTAGGACTCTTGTGCTGGGCAAGCTTTGCGCGTTGTCGTGTGGCGTACTTGTAATGCGTTGGCTGACGTGCTCCTCTTGCAGAGTCCAAACTGAGACTAACTGTGTCAGCAGACAGACAGACCTTATACAGACCTCCCACCTCTTGCCTCACAGACAAGATCCATCTGAGCCTTTGCATGTTTAAGGATGACTTTTGGTTGTTGTTGTTTTGTGTGTGCTGTGCATGGACTTTTAAAATTCTTCTTATCCCATGTATAAAATATTGCATTGGGCTTATACGCAGATCCCTATCAAAGTTCTCAGACCCATATTAACATCTCAGTTCCAGAACTAATTCAGAGCCAAGAAAAAGTGATGCCTGCTTTGAGCCAAAACCTTGCAGGGCCAGATTAAAGTTACTGCAACCAGACTACCAGAGTGCAACAATGGAGGCTTACTGTCACATTATTTTGTGCAAAATGCATTGTGCTAATCTTGGGCTGTTTGTGTTGCCGCCATGTGTGCATCTGGAATAGTCACACCATGTGACGTGTTGTTTTCTTTCTTGACATTACCATTTTATTTCATTCCAAACCTTTATTCAAACCACAAGGGATCAATGAGAACATGCCCTCATTGTCAAAGATGTCAAAAGTACAGCACCAAAGCAGAAAACGTACAGAGCAAGCATTATTAAAAACAATTATATTCAAAGGCTACTTAGTTCTTGATCATTTTTTAGAAACGGTGCATGGCAACAGTTGTGTTGAATTTGAGCGACTGGACATAGAGCAGGGGTGCCCGCACTTTTTCAGCATGCGAGCTCATTATAAAATCACCAAGTCAAAATTTCCCAGGGGATAAGTGAGAGTCTACTTTTTTCTTTTCTGTTTTTTAAAAAAAATTTCACTGCCATTGACAGACACCGATAGCAATAGCATAAAACTTGAAGGGCTGGCAATGACTGAGTTAATGCCATGAGAGCCACCGACACTCCCATCGCAAGCTACTGGTAGCTCATGAGCTACCTAATGGGCACCGCTGATGTTGAGTATTCCGAGTAGGCTGTAGGAAAAGTGAAAACGTATTTACCAAGGTCAGCCTCATCATCCAGGTGATACTTTGAGCTGTAAATAAAAGTCACTAAATGAACGTATTGAGCGGTTTTTATGGGACCAGTTTCATGAAGAACTGCATTTCTTGTCACAGTTATAACGGTGCCTATCTCACTTTCTGATATCAACTACTGCCAGCAATTAATCTAAATGCACAGTGAAAGTAGGAGTCCAGTAGTTTTACTGTGAAGACAGAGGCATGTTTAAAGATCATGTCACCAATCTCCAAAATTGATAAAAAGACGAATATGATGTGTCGTTTACTGAACGGCAGAGCGACATTTGTTTTGTTTTCTGGTAACCATTGTTGGCATTTTTGTTTGGAGTAAGAAATGGTTTTAGTACACCCCACACTCCTGCCTTGCTTCTCCATCCTTGCATTTGGGTCCTCAACCTTGCCATAGCTTGACACAAACTTCACAATGCTGGCTCGAGCACCCGTATTGCACCTGGACTGGTTGAGCGTTGGAACTGATTTGATGGGGCTGGGGCATAAAAAAGAAACATTGTTTCTCGACAGATATCTCTTGAGAAAAACCTGACTTTAAAATATTTTTGAAGAGTTTTGATGGAGTGCCAGGCACCATTCTGTTCCCCAAATAGTTTTGTTATCACATGTTCGGGCGCGATGAAATGTAAGTGAGAAAGAAAAATAGAACAGACTGAAGACTCAGTGGGCGTCTGCAAAAGCTGCAGGAGCCAGGCGGTGTTCGATCCTGCCCAAGGATTCCTGAACTTTTTGTTTATTATCCACATCATATTGCGCTTTGGCAGGGATGGGCAAACAATGAGGGTGGGGTTGGGGGGAAGAGTCGTATGTGATGATATTTGGGAGCAATTATTCGTCAGAGCTACTGGGGGGCCACACTTTCTACCCATCTTGTTTGTTTTGACTCTCGGCTTAGTCCTTATCTTTTGTAAAATCAGGGGTTGCCACAGTGAGTAACTCGCATGATGTTTGCCACAGTTTCTACGCCAGTTTTTCTTCCTGACACAATGGCTGGAAAACCGTGAATAGGGCAAAGGGTCTTGACGACACACACTACTGTTTAAATGTATGACAAAAATGGCATATGTGCATGTCTGTTTTTATTGAACCAATGTACAGAAGAGTATCTTAATAGATTTAAAATTTCAAATGCATATATGTAAAAGATCCACTGCTGAACTTCACCAAATCTCAACACACAGTGAGCCCCCAGACCCTGTGCAAAAGGTTCTCTCGTGAAATTTCCCATTCAAAGATGGCACAAAACTACTGAACATCAAACCAGCATTACATGTAAGAACACATTTTGTGCATGTTTTCACAAAAATCAACTTTTAATACTGTATGACCAGAGCCCACAATGGCCGCTTGTCGATAAAGCAAGCATACGCATTTGTAACACCATTAAACATTCGACATGTTCATGTTTTCGGAGGACCTAACCTCCTTATGCCCTTCTACAAAGCCACTGTCGTTCATGTACTTTTGAGACTGGTGTTGTGGCGGCAATTACACGATCTTCTTCTTTAATGCACAGGCTCGGGGTTGGAGCTGCTGGTGAGTGATGTCTGCCATGCTGTGGTTGATTCTGGTATTACATCTTTTGGCGGCTCAGCAATAGAAAAAACTCCACAAGCGGCTTGCGGGCTGTCAGTTACCTCTCCCTGAAGGAGAATTATTGTGGTATTTTGCATGCTTCTTTAAACATTGGACCAGATTCCATAGCTGCCGTTAACTTTGTAAAACTTTCTATTACACAAACTATACAAATAACACATTTACTGTGCTTCTCAGATTACATTAGGAGTGATTAATACATGAAAAAACAAATACCGTTTAGCCTCACGTTATTTGCACCCTAGTAGGGGTTCACGTGTTTGACTTATGTTCAAGTGATTCATATTCTTTGGCATTATGCAAATATGTATCACTGAAAAAGGTTATTGCAGTGATTTACAAAATGTTTGATGATTACATGGGCAGTCGTGTCATTTCTCTTAATGCATGACTAATATGCATAAAATGTAAGAAAAAAAACGTTTTCAATATATTAAAAAAAAACCTAAGTCTAACAATACTGTATTGTCTTACTACAACGTACTTGAATTTGAGCCATGTACACAACAGAAGAAAAGTACTAACTGTTGGTGTTTTGTTTGACCGAGAGGAACTACTTCACAGTCACTTCATTTCTTCTTCCGCTATCCATCAGATAACATTGACAAGTGGAATGTCTTGGGTAAATCACTGTATGATTGTTGAATGCTGGGCATGATGAGGCAAGATGCCTTTAGTTGGGATTTCTTATGTATTATCAGGTGCCGTTAATCTTCTTGTTTTTACAGCTTGCCGTTGGCTAATCTTTACATTTCATGGTTGGTTATATGAGCATTTGCACTTTCTTGAGTCAAGAAGGAGACTCCAGAGGTGACTCGCTACACAGTACATGAACTTTAAACATTGTCACAGTGGGGAAAATACTTTCAGAGATGTATTGTCCAGGAGAGAGTGAAAAATCAAGAATGAAAGCTTTAGCGATATTGCAGGTGACAAGTGATAGCAGCCGAGCCAGCTGCAGCTGTGAAATATGTACATGATAGAATTTGACATATTTGTACACTAAAGTCAGGCAATGTCTGTCAGTTAGATTGAGTAGACAAGTCAGGTTTTTAAACAGGATCCAATTTCACACTTTGCTGTTATTTTGAGAGATTGTCAGAAGTGAGTATATGGTGGCAGTGGTGGGGAAAAAAAACCCCACATTTAAACGGGAAGAAAAAAAAAAATCAAGAAAGAAAAAAACCCTCAAACCACTTCAGGAAATTATGTGGTGTTGCAAATCCATTGTGCGTAGCTGTACAAGAGGAAAGGCAAATGCACCCTATATCCATTTCAAAACTCAGGCCATGGATTATATGCGCAGTTGTCCAGAAATAACATAGACCAGGGGTGTCAAACTCATTTCACATGGTGGGCCACATACGGCCTGGGTAGATGTCAAGTGGGCCGGACCATTAAAATGATACCATACTTTGCTATAAATAACCAAAACAATATGTCTTTCCTTTGTTTTGGTATAAAGAAGCACAAGAACATTAGGAAAATGTTGAAATTAAATGAACATATCTTTTACAAAACATTTCATGAAGCACCTTACATTTCCTTCGACAAATGTGCAATTTACTTTTATCATTCACATATATGCATTGCAACTGATCCCACTGATTGTACAAACTTTAACAAGTAATTGGTTTTGAAAAATAGAGTAATGCACTTTAAGATTAAACGAGATTTATAAAGAAAGGAAGTTTTAAACCATTTACACGTGCATATAAAATCTAAATGTAATCCCTGCCTACACCTTACAAACTAAGGAGCGTGCTATTAAATGTGTAAATGTGAGAGTGCTATTGATAGCGTCTGCTG